TATTAGATGAAAAATTTTCCAGTTAAAGTACTAAAACTACTAAAAACTATATTTTTTTATAACGAATTATAGCTAAATAGAAATATTTGAAAGACACCAGATAAAAAGACTAAAATTTTAACTAAAATATACTAAATTATTATATATTTTAATAATAAAATAACTCAATAAACTAAATTTAAATAAATTATTATAAACATTTTAATAAATGATAATAAATACATTTAAAGTAAAACTAATTAAAAATATAAACAAATACTATAATATTATATAAAAAATACTAAAAATAACAGTTTTTATTTTTTAATATTAAAACTCTAAAAGCTATAAAGAATTTGCAAAATGATCTTTACTGTAGTTTCAAATGCGATATGGATTGGCCTAAGTTGAATGTTTGAAGGTCGGACCTTCTCTTTAATAAAAATGATGTATTTTTTGTTTTGGATATAGGAGCTTTGAGGGTATTTTATACAAAAGAGGTGCTTTGCTGAAACCTTGGAGACCACGTTGGTTTGTACTGGATAAGACCAAACACCAGGTAATTCATTGCAATTGAAAATATTGAAAACATTTTAGGATTTAGACCCATAATAGTTTCAGTATGCAGCAAATCTTAGATGCTTTCAATTAAAAATGAATTGTTTTCTAATCAAGAATCATTCAACGTGACTGCTATTGATGCTCCTATACCCCCTTTTCTCTTTTTTCCTAGTTGCGATACTATGAAACCAGGCAAGATAAAGAGTGTAAGGGAGTGATCGAGCTAGCTGAAGTGGAATCTGTCATTCCGGGGACGCCCACCATGGGAGCGCCTAAAAACATGGATGAAAAAGCCTTCATTGATGTAAGACCTCTATAATCAGCTCGCATTGCTTTATTTGTTCATAATTCACAAAGTATTGTTTAAAGCACGTTAACCTCTCCTCCTCCTCTTTCAGCTCAAGACGACCAAAAGAGTATACAACTTCTGTGCCCAGGACAGCACGTATGCACAGTTATGGATGGACAGTATTCAGAGTTGCCTATCTGATGCGTAGGGGCTTTGCTGAGGAGAGAACTGTGACAATTTGTGGGGGGGCGGAGCCAGTGACAGACAGTGCTCATGGCCAATGGGCAACGCTTCCCCAGAGTTTACAGAGGAAAGTTGTAACGGGCTCCCGTGTTGGTGGTATTGAACTTTACGATGTCGCTCCTCTACACATTTCAGCGTTGTTGTTTTTTTTTTGTCGAAAAGCTATGGAAAAAGCGAAGAATTCCCTTTAAGACTGATATCTGTGATCTCACACGTACTCTGCTTGTTTTAAACAGTCAAACCCCCTGGATGTTCTCCTACGGTTGTTCGAAAAGGCATGATGTGCGATTCTTCATCTACCGCTCGCATCCCATCATATTGCTCCAGCACTGCCAATGGCACCTTTCAGCTATGCAGGGGCTCTAAAAATGCCCAATAACAAAAGAGTGACCCCTAATGTAACATTTAACCCCTTCTGATCTCCTTACTGTCACTATGCCACTGCTTGGAGCCCGAACTGCACATCACATGTCCCGCCTTCTCAATGGCTAGACAAGTTCTCTCGCTCCCTTCTGATTGGCTGGCTTCGTCAAACAGGGTCTCCGTGCAACGGTTCATGAAGGATTTGTGTTTAAGACTTGTTTTCCATTATGTTATTCACATCAAAATAATATGAAAAGATCCATCGTTGTGACAGTTTACCATGTCCAAACTGTAAAGTTATCTGGAGGTTCACATTTTGACTGTTTACAAACTAAATTCTTGGGTTCTTCCGATGAAAATAAAAACCACTATTGCTTTTGAGAATTTTAAGGGATGCTGAAGGAAATGGAGGGATGTATTTTGTCATAATTTATGCACAAAAAAAAAGATGATTCTTTGATTTTTCTAAGACGAAAGACAGACTAAAGGGGGGGAGGACGGTGTGTGGATGAGATTTATAACCTCTTCGTTTCAAGTTTCTGTTTACACCAATCAGAGGCCAGAGACTGTAGCTGGTCGCAATGACAACTGGGTTCCGCATCATTTCCTGTAACAAAAATATAATATGCATTCCGAATGGGTACAAACTCTTAAAACTTCAATTTGAGTTGGAAGTGAGATATCAGACCTGTCATATCTATTTAGCAAAGTTTTGGTCACAAATTTATAAATGAAAACCGAATCAGCCTGTCCCGAAATCAAATGCGGGTGCCGGTGTGAGGCCAGTCGTCATGTGCTTCTGTTCTTCAGCCTCTGAGCCCTGGATCTGTCAGAATCAGTGTTTTAGTTAGTCTGTTACCTGTTCTGTTTTGAATCCTGTACATAGAGGAGTTTGTTTATATTATTCCTTTAGAGAAAGGGTCTATTTTGCTGGACTTGGTGAGGATGCATAAAAGTATCACCTGTTTATCACAGGACTGCACCGTTGCAGGGGTTTTTTTTCTTCCGTTTTTTTTTTTTTTTTTAATTCCAGATACAAGAACTAACACACACATACACACACATGGTGTAAAATAGGGTAATACTTAAGATCTGTTGACAACGAAATTTGAATTTGTAGATTTTTGTTTCAATAACTCCCTTTGTATATAATACTCAAATGTGTATGTTAATGGTAGTAATTTATTTAACTTTGTCTCCTGAATATGACAGTCCTCAGAGCACCACTTAACCTTTTAATTAGAAATCCAATATGTGCCATTGTTTATCTCTCTGTTAACGTGACTAATGATATATATATATATAATATATATACATATATACAGTATATATATTTATATATATTTTGGAAACCTTCAGATGTGACTCATAAATAAACCCTACATTTCTTTTTATTTTCTTTTTTAAATTCTTTTTTTCTTTTACTTTGAAATGATACTTGATCAGTACACGTTCACATAATTCGAGTCCCAGGACGCAACAGTTTTGTAACATTCATAATATCTGAAAGCAAAAACTGCATAACATTTTTAATTATTTATTTTTCATACTTTTTTTAATTCGATTTATTTAATCTGATCCAGGTTGTTTTGTCAATCATGCCATATATTTTTTAGGATTAAACCACTGTGAGGTTCATGGCCTCCTGACATTTGTCTGTGTGCTGCTTTTTCTCTTTGTTTACTGGTGTCACTGCAAATATTTATATTCATTTAAAAATGAAAACATATAGGCTAAATATCACAATCCCACGTTAAAACGTTGGAATATCTGCCATTTGACTGTCACTGTCAGTCAAACTTTGAGAGGGTTTAAAATTTAAATAATTTTACTGTTTAGAGGTGTACTTCTTGTTTTATGGATTGGTAGTGTTCCATTATGGACAAATTTACCAAAAATGTTTATTGTATCATCATTTAATCACTCAAATCTGGTTCTAAACCCGTGTGAATTTTTTCCAGAGATTATGGGCAGAATGATGGCTTTAGTCACCACATTTTTTTGAGTGTTTTACGGAACAAAGATATACAGCTTTTGATCACCATGAGTGTGTAAATATTTTTTTGTTAATTTAAAAATATTAAAAATTATTTTGGGCGATGTCTGTAATTTTGCGCTTTCTGATCGTATCGTAGGCTACATGTGCAAGGATTTATGTGGGGGTCCATAGCACCATCTGCTGGTAACTTATTAACATTACAGTAGCCGTATTGGCTACATAATGTCTTCTAACCTAAATGTAGACCTGATATTCATATTTAACATTTTTTGTTGGCATGAAGCCACTATTTAGTTCTCGACAATTTCATCTTTATCTGACAGAGAATGATATGCACTGCAGTTACTCCAGCCTCTTAAAAAACGTTGTGATTGGTTGATGATTAGCCTAACTATTGATTTTCTAAGCACATGCCTTCTCAGGGAGGGAGGTGGATGTAATAAAAAAATTGCATCACAATAAGTGTATTGTGATTGTCAAAACATTTTAGTAACTAAACAGAATTTTATTAGGTTTAGTGACAACATGTTACAATGTTTACATGGTAGGCTACAATTTCTGGTAAGCTACAGGTTTTTTTTATTATTATTGCTTGACACAAATTTCACGATTTCAATTCAATTCTTGTGATTTTATTCAATATTGACTCATTTGGATAAATATTAGGTACACAAGATGTTCTCAAGAAAAGAAAAAAACTCACCCAATGCTGTAAACATACAGAGAGCCCTATCAGCTGGTAGTATTATTTAAGGTTAAAAATGACTCAAATTAAATATGCGTTTTTTTTATTATAATAACAACTTTATTTAATGATATAAGTAAAAATATAATAAATATGTAATATAGTACACATATTTTGCAAAATACGCTCGGTGAGTCTCACGGTGAATGCGTGAGAGTTGACAGCCCTTCTCAGACTGATCGTTGGTTCGAATCCGGCTCGAAGGAAAATGTTTACTTCAGCTTATTCTCAATAAGCAGTGTTAAATCAACATACTTGCAATATTTACGTAATACAAACAGTAACCAATTTAGTATAGCAATATTAGGCGTAAAACTAACAGAAATCTGACAAATTGAAAAATGATTCGTAAAATGACCCATCTCAACCCTTCGATAGCTCAGTTGGTAGAGCGGAGGACTGTAGAGGCTTAACACTGTCATCCTTAGGTCGCTGGTTCGAATCCGGCTCGAAGGAGTTGTTTTTCCAATTACATTACAACACTTTGAAGGATTTAATTCCAGCGTTATGCTGATGCGGTAGTTCCTCGGCTGTCTGTATGAATAACTTACATGCTATTTAATTTGGCAAACAATGAAAAGAAAAGAATAATTGTGATTCAGTATATGTTTTTTTGCTTCTCTTTCCCAAGTGCCCTGGAAAAGCCAGCTTGTGTTCTTCCTATATATATACATATATAATATTACAATATATTTAATTATATACGATAAACAAAGGATTGATTCTTTAAAAAAAAGGATTATGATTTTGTCAGTAATAATTGGGCCTTTTATTTTGAAAGAGTCTTTAAGGTTCCTGTTGTTGTGACGCCAATGACGTAAAATAGCGATTTCTTCTTCACGCTGTTCTCACATGGAAACCTAAACATGGAGAATTCAAGCACAGAGAACGTAATTGATGGCCAGGTAAAGAATATTCTATATCCTTGCGTATGTTTTGATCATTCATATTCATTTCGACTCACTTGGTACGTACTGAATAAGTACTGACTGTTAGAAAAGTGTAAACTTTTACTTTAAACGTGAATTATCAATAATTCAGCGTGCACATCAACCATGAACAGTAGTTAGATCACTTTTATTAACTGATAGTGGGTGATAAAGCTCACGTTGGAAATTAATAGTCAAATTTGTTATACTAAATTGGAATGCAAGTCACTGCATCATGAGTTACTTTAATCTTGCATGTGGATTACTTAAAGGTACACGTTTGTTAAATAAAATAAATATTACGCAAAACACTATGAACAGGACTTTAGACGAATATCTTTTAAATGTTTTTTTATTCACATGAGGTAAAGAATCTAGACATCAGTCTTCTAGGGGGAAAAAGGCTGTTTTATTTTACATGTAGCGGGTCGCCCTCTCATGGAGGAATGTTGATATCACGTGACCGTATAGGAGTTTATCGAGTTAAACTAATAATAACACAAATATAACGTGCTTTCAGTCACTGCTCAAGCCATTTTATAAAGTGTAAACGTAAAAAAATATTTAACTAAAATAACAGATACAATATACTATAGACACAACATCAAGTTCAAAAAGCATAAGATAATCTCATCTGTTCTCTCAATCTCATTTCTTTTCCAGGACCAAGATGAGACCAAATGTGAAACCGAGAAAAAGGAATTGGATATTAATAATACAGAGTTTCAGATTGAAACGAATGGTGATCAGAGCTCAGGTGATCAGAGCTCCGGTCCTCAGCTCAGACCAACAGATGAAACCTTCGCCAGTGGACAGTCTGAACAAATAGAAGATCAGAGCTCCAGCATTCAGTCTGAACAAACAGGAGATCAGTGCAGCAGGGGCCGGCTTGGACCAGCAGAAGGTCCGTACACCTGTGATCAGTCTATAGACACTGGACATCAGAGCTCCAGTACTCCATCTGAACAAACTGGTGAACAGAACTCAAGCGGTCAACTTGTACCACCATCAGAACTGTGCACCAGTGATCTTTCTGGACTGGCAGGAGATCAGATGTCCATTGTTCAGTCTGAACAAACAGGTGATCAGAGCTCCAGCATTCAGTCTGAACAAACGGGTGATCAGAGCTCCAGCATTCAGTCTGAACAAACAGGCGATGAGAGCTCCAGCGTTGAGACTGGACCTGCAGAGATGCAGTGTGGAATTGTGGTTAGTCCACACTCTGGCACTGGGTCATTGGCTTTGTTGAGCATGCAGTACAGAGGAAACAGCTCGGATGACAACTGTTCAGACAGGTAAAATAATAGGACGTTAAAGTCTGTTGCATCTGACCCATGCCTTGGGTTAATCTCCTTCTGTTGTAGTAGCATCATATAAAGCTCATATACAATCATTTTATGTACATAAAGAATGTTCCTAAAAGCTAGTCAAAATGACTATTGATTATTTAGTGATTAATGCTTAATGATTACTTTTATATGATTCAGTGACTCAGACTCTTCGTCCTCCACATCGTCCTCTTCATCGTCCTCATCCTCTTCTTCCTCTGAGCCTCTTGAGGTAGTGGTGAAGAATGCAGATGAAGACGATGAAGTTGTTGCAGTGAGCAATGAGAAGAAGCCAGTACCACTGAAAATCCATGATGAGTTGCTTATCGAGGTGAGGGAAATGAGCTGTAATAGACCACTCCTTTTTTTCCCTAAACTTTCTCAATTTCTTTGATTAGATTAGAATAAATCTGCCTTGTGATCGAATCAACCAAGATGTTAATACCTGGCATAAATGAGAAAAAAGGTATCTTCTGTGTGTTTAGGACCTTCCTGCAGTGGAGAACCTGATCATCAGCCTTCCACAGGATACAGAGATGGAGCCCGTTGGCACAATATCAAGCATTGTGGAGCAATTAGGTATTTAGGCGTCTGGCAAACTCTAAGCATATATAAAGCAATAATATTGTGAAGAAAATCTAATAATTCTAAATAACCTCTTTCTATTGTAATACATTTTAAAATAAATGTAATTTATTCATATGATGGAAAAGCTGAATAATTCCAGTCTTCAGTGTCACATGATCCTTCAGAAATCATTCTAATATTTGCTGTATTTTTTTTTTGCATTTCTTATGTTTCTTAAGCAGCATAAACATTTCATACATTTCATATTATCAGTGTTGAAAAGAGTTGTGCTGTTTAATATTTTTTGGGAAACTGACATTTTTTCAGGATTTTAAGTGTATATACAGTATATATACACACACACACACACACACACACACACACATTTTCCACTGGGCAAAACAAAAACCATCTTAGCTAGAAGACGGGTTTTGTCTCGCCTGAATTTAAAGGCCATCTCATACAAAATGTATTCATTTTATTTAGTGATCGTGGAGTCATACAAGAACACACCAGCACTGAATGAAGACAGTGTGTTGTTCAGCAAAAACAGAAACTCTGTTGGCAAGGTCAGTAACGTTATCCATCTGTGCCAAATTTATTGTAACTGTATTCACAATTATTTAAAATCTGTTGTCTTGCAATGTGGAAACACGTCTTCTTTTAAAAGACATATTGTGCAATAAACCGTAGTTTTGTGGTCCTAAAAGGTTGTTGGTTTCTCCTCAGGTCTTTGAAGTCTTCGGGCCGGTTTGTCAGCCCTACTACGTTTTGAGGTTCAACTCCCATGACGATATCGACCAGAAAGATCTCAAAATTCGAGACCCGGTTTACTTCGCCCCTAAAATTAAAGATTTCACAGACTACGTCTTTACAGAGCGACTTCAAAAGTGAGTACCTCATCATTGGGGCGGAAAGCTTGGGTGTGCCTCGGTTTTATTGAAAAACGCTTTGATGCTGTTCTGCTGTTGCATGTTTCCTCTAACATTTACAAATGATACCTCTCAAACAAGGACCAAAGGCTCAGATGCATCCTGGAAGAATGACCAGGAACCACCCCCTGAGGTAAATGTGCCCTTTTCATAACAATTATTTGGGAAATCAGGTCAGCAAAGGCTTAATCTCTATGGAGAGAGTGATATCCTGCCTTAATATGTCATCAGTGTTATCTGTTAATAAGTGATGGTTTAGCCTCTCCGCTGATTGGTTTTTATTCTGTGTTAGGCACTTGACTTTAGTGATGATGAGCAAGAGAAGCTGGCCAAACAGAAGCTGAAAGAGAAAAAGAGACGGCAGCAAAACGATTCTGACTCAGGTACAGTCATTTTATGTCCACATTTTTGTTCCTTTTATTTTTAGCAGCATGTTGCGAGCTGAATTCGAACCTGCGTCGCCCACATGAGCGCTATGACTTAATGCGCTAATCATTCTCTCTTATCCTCTTTCTTTGGTTCCTTTACCAGAGGATGAATCGGACGTCCATAAAGAGCCTCAAAAAGCAGGCCGGCGGAAGCCCAGACAGAACCGCAACGTTCCCCGTGGGCAGCACCACAATCGTGGCGGCGGTTTTCATAGCAACTATCACGCTCACCCCCACTTCCAACCTGACTACATGTTCCGCCATCAGGATCCACACATGTTTCCTTTCCAGCGCCCAATGATCCCACCCTTTCCCAGACCTCCACCCTTTCACATGGGCATGAACCCGTGGCCCCCAGGGCCCAATCAGGGCTTTATGTTTCAGCCCCCACCTCCACCACCACCACCACCACCACCATTTAATCAATAAACCTATGACTGAATCCTCTTCATAACCTGCACCCTTAAATTGATCACAGTCTTTGCATACTAATATAACTATATACAGGTGTGGATCAAACTTAACTGTATATTGTTAGTGCAACTTTTCATTTTGTATTAAAAATGATTAATTTCTTTATACTGTATATATATTTATATATTATTTTTCAGTGTGTCTCTTTCACTTTGTGGTGTTAGACATTGTACATTTATTACAAAGTATACACTTCAATAATGAGATTTATGTTCTTATTTTTTGTAGTACTGCCCGGCAGAAAAATAACAATCGTCAATCACCAGAACAGTGTAGAAAACCAAATTTTGACACTTTAAGAAAGAATGTGAGTGGTGCTTGCTCACTGTCTGTCCCTGTGATTTTGCCAAGTAAGACATGTTCCTGGATCAATATATTTCAACATTTTTGTCTGCTGCATACATCATTGAGCCTGCCTGGTAATAATAAAAATAATAAAAACAGCCGTGAGAAGATGCGATAAACAGTGACCAATCACGTAACATTTATTCCAGGGTTCAAGCGCATAGGAATGCGCACCTATAGAATGATTCAGTTACCTTTTACAGCTCAAGTAACCTGACTGAGTGAGTGGTTGTCTTTTTCTTAACAATATTGCTGTGATAAATGTTGTCTAATTCCCAGTTTTGTAATCTAAAGGCATCTGGTGAATGAAATGAGTAATTTCCATTCTACTTCCTTTTATTTTTCCTAAATAGAATGATTTTTAAAGTAGCATAAAGTTGATATTTACTCCTGTGGGTCTAAATCCTTTTGACTATAAATTTAGCATTTTAATTAAGATAGTTAATATAACTTAAATTGAAATAATTTTAAGACTTTATAGGGGCCCTCTTATTGGGATTGAGAACCACTGATTTAGTCCAATCTGCTCTATTATCGAAAATGACACCCCTGGTGGTCTGTTCTATCGTTTTTCCATCTTTACCAAAGATTTTCAAAATAGCAATAGCTCTGTTACCTATCATCCCATGATCCCATATCCCTTTTCCTACAGATATTATGGATGTCCTGGAATGCTCTCATCTTTCTGTTGTTTAGAAACTGTAATTCTGACCTCAGCATCCCAAGTGTTGTGACTCAAGGTCATAGTGTGTTTCCATTAGATTGCCAGTGCCCAGAGCAACGTAATCCATCTGGGAACTGGCAGTTTCATTTGCTTCCCTGCAATATGGGGCACCTGGATGGAAAGTGTGGACTGCGATTGCTATCTCAAGCATGTTTGAGCCACTGAAACAGGAAGGACATTTGTGTGGGTTATTTTGCAGTTACATATAGCTCATTTTATAATTGGGAGTACATTTACTAAAGAAAGATTTTTGAAAGATGTTTATTTTAATTTTAAAAATGTATGCAAAATTTGCCAACCATAACAATTTATCCAACATTGTTGATTGCCAATTAGGCTAATATACCCCTTGACAATCTGTTATTGATAAAATATTGAAAAAAAGTGAAAACTTACAATAATGTGTTCACCACAGAAAAAAAACAAAAAAACATTATGGTGTTGGTCACTGGGTGTTTTGATTAACCAGTTTTTAGTTGCATGGGTTTGTTTGGTCAGTAGCCTAAACATAGTTGACATATTTTTTTTGCCAACAAAAGAAAATAAGATATATAATCTTATAGAAAATAAAATGTAAATTCAATAAAAGAAACTGTTTTTCTGAAGTATTAAGATTTTAGAAATAATTTTAACATAATGTTGACTAATAAAGGTGGTAACGCGGCCACGTGGTGGTAAAAGGTCGTAGCTCTCAGAAAATGACGAGTTTACGTGGGTCCACAAATTAATTAAAATTAAAGAATTAAAATATGCATTCAGTAAGTTAATACATTTTTTTGTTGTTTATTTTTTACAAAAATTGTTAGAAAAAAATACATTTATCAACAATGGACAATTACATTTTCAAACGGCCTACCCTAGAATGACGTATCGATAATTTGCTGTGGCAGATCGTAGATTTCTGTAGCTTTAAAAAGAGTCCATGTCCGTTTGTTGGCTTTGAGCTTAAAATGTTGAATTCCCTTTGAGCTTTTTTGGTGTGTGTGTGTGTGTTTATGTGAAACAGAGAGAAATGACCGAAACTGAGCGTGTTAGCGGACTCCTAAATAACCACGTTAACCTTGAGCAGTGTATAGCTGTGTAAGTATGTGATTAAACTTTCAACTTACACTACACAGAAACCCTATCAGTTTCTGATGGTGTCTTTTTTGTTTGTTTTGAGGTGTCATTTAAGGGCAACATTCTTGGCCCTGTTTCAGCAGTTTCCTATCGGTGACGGCGCCAGCTCGGTTGCCAAGCAACGCCATCAAGTTGCTGTGAGCCTATGACAGAGTGGCAGCTCGTAGCGCGCTGACACGAATGTCCTACAATCTGAATGGGTTTGCAAACAAAGATTAAGCTTCTGCGAATGGCAGAATATGTCTCTCAGACAGCTGTTGTTTCTTAATGAGGGAAGTAAGTTTCCTTCCCTTAGGTAGTGGATACGCGCAATACCTACTCTACGTTGCATCTCAACAATAATTACAGGCCATTGTACATCGATAGATTATCTTTTACTGTCTATGGATTACGTGTAACGTTAGCACTATATGCTAATTTGAGCAAGATGTGAGTTACAAAGGAGAGTTTTGCTAAATAAATGACCCCCATTGTCATTTCTAGTCTTGTTTGTTCTAGTATGTTTGTGTTTATGGTCTACAGTATGCAGTGTAGGCCTATACTGTTTTCAGAAAGTAGTAAGCTGGTTTTCCACAGCCCGAGACAGAAAGTAAGAGAATTAACTTTTAAACTGTTTCAAAATGTCTCCTCATAAAATAATAATAATAATTGTTTATGCATATTAATGAAATATACATGTCTTCCATTTTTTTTTTTTCAGTGCTTTGCAATGCTGTCGTCACATCTTACTTGAACATCTGCCCTGATCTGATCCTAAACGGACCAAGAGTTTCAGTACGAGACCTTCAGTTGTTTGAATTCGTCTTGCTGGGATTATGAAGACCAGATCTGCACAAGTCACAGTCGGAATGTAAATATACCCTGCCTGAAATAGCTATGATGCAGTTGACTGCATCATATGAAAACTTCTTCAAAATCTATTGAGGACTATGGAAAAGTCGATAATAAATACAATTAATAATACAACTATTATTATGTATTAATCTAATAGGCTTAATAAACTTCGATTAAAGAAATCGATTAATCACAATTAATCACACCTAACATAAAAGTTCATAAATATGTGTGTGTGTGTGTGTGTGTGTGTGTATATATACATATGATATATGCATACTGATATATATATATACATACATACATACACACACACATATATATTTACAAACTTATGTTAGATGCTATTAATCGATTTGAGTTTGACAGCACTAATTTTAATTTATAATAATATAAATGCATAAACAAACAAACAAACAAATGGCATGAAACCAACTTTGCAATAACAAATACAATTAATAAAAATATGAAAATATTTTTCAAATAGGGAAGACTTAAAATAATAAACTTTTACAATATTTAATAATTAAAATTGTTAATAATTAATAATCATCATCATCATCATCATCAAATAATATTATATATCTTAAAGGAATAGTTTACCCAAAAAGGAAAATTCAGTCATTAATTACTCACCCTCATGTCGTTCCAAACCTGAAAGACTTTCGTTCATCTTCAGAACACTAATAAAGATCTTTTCAAAAGAAATTCTGTCTCTCCATTGAGAGCTACACAACTACCTCTTTGATCCTTCAAAAAGTTCATAAAGAGATCGTAAAACTAACCCATATGAATTGAGTGGTCCACATTTTCTGAAGAGACACGATGGCTTTATGATGAACAGATTGAATTTAGACTTCGTGCTAGTTGCGTAGCTGTCAATGCAGGGACAGAAAGCTCTCAGATTTCATCAAAAAGATCTTCATTTGTGTTCCGAAGATGAGCAATAAACTTGTTACTTTGTTTTTTTTCTGTGCAGTCATTGTGGCCCCAAATGTAAGTGCAAAATCATCAAAATGCTCCCACAAGCCAGCTGATTTAAATCTGTGGGAGAATGGACCACACAAAGCAATCGTAGAGGTAACAGATGAGAAAAGAGCAAAGTGAGGCAAAAGATAAAGGGGGAGCAAGAGAGCTAGATGGCGTGAGTGAGCGAGAGAGGGGGAAGGAAGGAGGGAGAGGAGACGAGACGAGAGGAGGGCACGCAGTAAACGACAGCGAGTAACGGAGACGTAAGCTGTCAGTGTCCTGAGCTGCACACAGATCTCATTAAAGGTAAGCAGACCAATGCTTTCTGTGTGTTTGAGAGTCAGAGAATAATCATGTTGCTGAAATACCCTTGATGCTGTGCAGTGTTTCAAGCTTTGTTTTGCAAGGAGACAATAAGCAACCGAGAGAGAGAGAGAGGGAGAGAGAGAACAACACAGTTATTCAGGAAGAGCAATAAACCATCTATAAGCAGTTTAGACGGTGATGTCTCCAGTTGTTTAGAGGAATATTGAACTGATCTGTGTGTATTTGTGTGTGTTTCAGGATGTATCGACCATCGCAGCACAGTGTGTGTGGAGCCTGACATTCCTCGCAGGGCTGTGTGTGTCCCTCCTGTTTTCTGACCATTATCACTGCGTGTGTTTGGACATTTCACCCCCCTCCAACCCCCACCCCCCCACTTCCTGAGGCCTGTCGCCACGACAACCATGGACTGCGGATTGCGTCTGCCGCCCGTCATTGAGGAGGTCTTGGATCCTGCAGGTGTGTGTGTGTGTGATGTTTCTACAGGTGTTCATTTGTGCAACAATGCATGAAATAATTATTGTTTTCTCTCCTCCTACCTCCATCTGCATTGTTTATCTGGTCTGTCATGAGGCAGAAGGTTGTTTAGAAGGATGCGGTGTCTGATGTTAAGAGAAACAGAGAGATAATCTAGTATGTCAGTTTCTCAGTCAAAAGGTGAGACAAGGTTATGTGTGTGTCTTGGTTAAGACAAATATGCGTAGATAAACAACACAACTCAAAACTCAAAAGAAATGGTTATTATGATATGATGGTGGCTTTCTGTTTATTAGTCTTCTAATGCACTTGCTACAATGCAAAAATGACTTGTTTATCAGTATATTTGTCTTGGTTTCCCAGTAGAAATATCGGTAACCCTTTACTTAAAGCCTTTATGTATAATGCTAATGCTATAAACCTATGTATAAAGGTTTTTATAATTTATGTTATAATGCATTATATCTTTTCATAAATAATTGTAACCAAAGTTTACATAATATTTGCAGATTGCTTTTTACATCTGAAACTGGCTGTTTGTCATGTGTTTAATGCATTATACTTCCTAAAGGTGTAAGAATGAATAGATAAGTATTGTAATGTATTATAACTGTTATTTATGATACATACAGTGCATTATAAAGTGCATTACAAGGCATAATATGCTTTATTTATAAAGGCTTTGAGTAAAGTTTTTACATAATATCTGAACATTCTGAAAACAAGATAAAGTTTAAAAATAAAATATTGCAGTTTATTTTAAGAGAGCATTCTTCAGTTAAATGTTGTTCTTTCTTACATCATTGGCAATTTTATTCCTTTTTTTTTATTATTACAAGCTTTAGCTAGTGTTTATGTTTAATACAGCAACAACAAAATATTTCATAATTAATATTAAATAATTTAAAAAAATCAACTTAATTCAAGAATATATTCTCTAAAAACAAGACTTATATTAAATTTTCTTGAGAGGCAGTTTTTTTTTTTTAACTGGGATATAAATGGATTAAGATTCAAAAAAGACAGAACATTTTGTATGTATGTATGTATATACAGTATATCTATATATTTATGTCTAGAGTAATGGTTCAAACCACAATTTGTACTTTTTGGGGAAATGAAACTTATAATTGTCTCTCCTCTGCATATTAAGAGATAGAGAAAGTATTTTAACATTCAAGAAATATATACTATATACATTTCAAACTTTCCAAAATTGCCAATTTTGACATCAGTGGTTCTCATGCTTCATGACTGACCTTGTCAACCAAGCAAGTTTGGTGTACTGCGGTCTGCTTGTGCGTGTCGGCTAGTAAATTAAGCCTGTTTTGTTTTTACACGCTGTATATTTACAGGAAAATGGAGTAGCTTTGTTACCGTAAATAACAAGTCTTTGAAGACGTGCAGCAAGGGGTTATGGGAAACTAAATACTTGCTTTCTGATATGTTGCGTGCTCACTAGGGTGTTGTTATGAAACTATTATATTTTGAGTGTTTGTGCGCATAAAATTTTTTTTGTGCACACTAATGCTGTAGATTTCTCCTCGGAAGGGCTTTTATGTCTTAAATAGCTGTTGTCTGCAGACTAGAGGGATTGTTTTAAATTGTACCTCTGATCAAAAGCAGCGCCGAATGTGAACTTCAAAGCTTAAGTCCCAGCGTCTCCATCTCCGTTGGTCCGTTCCCAAAGAACCTCGCCCCCTGCGACAAGATGCATAAGTATTGTTTTACTTGATCTGACTTGGTATTACCGCAGTAAATTGGGATATATGTTTCTGTAGGTGGACTTGAGATAGATTGAAGGAGGTTTAGAAGCTTGTATGGTGTTCGGGGAACGAGAGAGGATCATTTTAGCACAGCACTTTCATGTCACACCACACACACATGCCTCTTATTTGCAGGGCTTCCATGACAATTCCTTCTAAATGCCCTGCTGATTTAGCCAGCAGTGATGCTGCTGCCTACCTCTGCTCCATCCACCAGACACCCACATGCTCCACATTATTCGAGTGCCTCTTGCATTCCCTGTCCACCCCCGGATGATGAAAACACACGTTCTTTCTCTCACCTCCCACATTCTGGGTGCCACAGCGCCTACAAAGTTTAGGTCCAGTCAAAACCCAAAAGTTTTTGCTACCGCAGCTCATTTACATATAGAGGTCCTTTCTCATTTCATGCTTGTTTAAGTCTTTGTCCAAGCGAATTGTTCTAGAAAGCTTCACTGAGTACTGACGTCAAGAGATTGAACGTTTAGAATTCCCCTGCAGCCTGTTTTTTTGGGTCTTTTCACACTGATAGAGAAGTCAGTTTTTTGACTAGTCCCTCATTTTGTTAAATCTAAAGAAAATTACACCTAAAATGCACTTACAATGGAAGTCTATGGGGCATCACATCGAGAGAAACGTTAAAATACACAGTCGTGAAAGTATAGCCAGAAGACTTAAACATTATGGCCTGGTTTCACAGACAGGGCTTAGATTAAGCCAGGACTAGGCCTAGTTAAATCAGGAAATTTAAGTATCTTTTAAATATGTGCCTTAAAAAACATGATGTGCAAAGACAAAACATGGCACTAACATATTTTAAGATATACCAGTGCAAGTTGCTTTCAGCTAAGACAGCTCAAACATGCATTTTAGTCTGGGACTAGGTTTAAGCATTATCTGTGAAACCGGGCATATATGTCTTAACATGAGACTATATACATTTTATTCTCATTAAAGTCATTAAACCTGTTACGTTTGAATTATATACAGAAAAACACCAGAAAGGCTTTGTAAAAATTTTTTTTTTTTTTTTTTTTACAGATTATCCACATGGAATAGCCATACAAAATATGGTTTTGAACAACTTTAGCTCAAAAACGTTTTTACAAGCATATACAGGCTGTAAAATTTGTCTTAGAAATGTCTTGTTGACATTTCTTCAATAGCACCTATATTTTTGTTGTTTGTTTGTACAAACTGAAAGATGTATTGTTATATGTAAGTTATTTTCTGTGGTAATCGTTAAAAGTCGATAAAAAATCTCGATTCAAAAACAACACGTTCTCATTCCTAAAGTGTCAATTAAACCTTTGACAAAATCACACTGGAACATTAAAATCTGCATTGGCGCTGCCACTGACCCAGAAAGCAGTTGTCATGTTTAAGTATGAAACAGCTTCACAAACAGTCTTTTCAACCACACAGTATACTTATTTTTGTGTAAAGTTAAACAGATTTAAAAGACTGAAGCAATTAACATTTTGTCAGAACCTTTAGTAAATTGCAAGTTATTTTGTTTAGTTGTCTGTTCAGAATCGTGATCTCTATTTGAAACAAAAACATTGTGATTCTCAATTCATCCAGAATCGTGCAGCTCTAACGCATGCCACAAAATTGATTTATTCTGAGCCAAGAATGTTCCTTCATTCTTGTTGATATGTTGCAGAGGTTTACATGTTGACCGAATGACAAAAACAAGGCATACTGCAGCTTTCCTTCCTCCAAATCTTCCTCTCCTCCTTCCTGCGGGTTTCCTCCCTCTGTTGCTCACTGACCCCATCGCAGATGTGAGGATTGGCTCTTTAGAACATTCCAGAAGAGCTGACGGCGGGAATCTCAAGGGCAGTTCGAGTGAGATCACGCTTTGGTTAGCAAGAAAAGTTACATGCAGAGAGAGAGAGAGAGAGATGGTGTACATGCGCCGCTTGTGTGAGGGCCCACACACACAGAAATAAACTTTCTCATGGAGGAGTCCACTGAGAGCGCCAGCTTTGAGACTTTCTTCTTTTGGAGTTTTAGAGATTGAACTCACTTTTCTTTCCTCCTTTTCTCTTTCTCATCTTTGTGTTTGTGAGGTTTGTGTGCTTGTTCTCATAACATAAAATTCAGAATTAGCCCATTTATTTCTCCAATCCATAAGAGCACATTATTCTAAAGGGAAAAAAAGGCTGTTCTTCATAGATTTCTCTGAACTGACTTTTCTTTTCTAATGATGTAATCCAGATGGCATGGACAGGGAAAAATAATATTAACCCAGTAGATTTTTGGCTGGTTTTGTTATGCAAACCTGGCAACCCTGGTTAATGCATCGCAAATACTATTATCAATTAAAAGTAACCTATTATAATTTGTATTCCTTGATCTAATGTATAGTGTTTAAATGTTCATTGAATGATTGTTTTGGTGTTTTTTCCCTTGCATTTTATAACTCCTCAGATGACAAGATTGTGTATGTAGTTTTTATTATGCATGTTAATGTGCCTCGCAATGCTCCGCATTATTTAATGTGTTGATGTAATTTCTACTGAAACAGGGAGACAGGGTGGGACATATAGAACAGCCCCTCCCCTTTTTTAAAATATCCAATAGCGTTTTGTTTATCTCGGCCAGAGCCGCTGAGCTTGTTAAAGCCGCAGTTTCCTCCTAATCTGGAACCGTTTCTCCTCGTAATCTATCTTGTCTCTGGACCGGAGCTGCGACGGTTCGTATGACACTAACGTGAAACCAGGCTTCATTAGCCCAATGGAAAGCATAATTACACTGTCTGAATTGTTCCCTATCCCCTATATAGTGCACTATGTGCCATTCACCATGTAGAAAATTGTAAATGACCAATTTCAGTCGCAGCTTCAGCGTCTATTTATAATGTAGAGGGCGGGGCGCTTCAGATTCTAGAGAGCATTTGATTGGACGCTGAAGTGCAGAGTGATGTCATCAAAATCACCGATCCATATTGGCTGAAGTGAGAGACTGTACGTTTTGAATGCTTATATCTTCTAAATACGAATTTTGCCATTGTTTTGGAGCACACTACCTTATAGATTAACAGTAGGGCTAACATATTCATATTAAAGCCAGGAAACTTCAATTTTGATTTCATGGGGACTAAAAAGATTCTGGTAGGAGCTGTTGGGGCTTGGGCAAGGGGGCTGTAACCATGGCAACAAGGCGAGAGCGCGTGAACTCCGGTAAACTTTAACGTCATACAGCTCCTCC